ATTAATTGAACATAAAAGTGATAAAATGCTAAACAATTATCATATCATTACTAAATCTAATGATTATTTGCAATGTTTTTGGCCTAAATGTCAATACAAAACACACCGGAAAGATATATTAACAAGACATCAATTAATTCATTCAGAAATAAAAGCATTTAAATGTGATTTTAATAATTGTAATAAAATTTATAAAAACCGATCACATTTAAATAAACACAAAAATAGTATTCATTTAAATCTCAAATTTATTTGTGATTTTAATAAATGTTACAAAAGTTTTTCATCGAAACACTATTTATTTCTCCACAAAAGTTGTGTTCATTTGAATGAAACAAAATTCAAATGTAATAAAGAAAATTGTGGCAAAAAATTTATAACAAAACATAATCTAATAGAACACAAACGCATACATTCGGGAGATAAACCATTTGTTTGTCATTTCAATGATTGTAAAAAAAGTTTTCGGTTTAAACCTGTTTTATCACGACATATGAAAAGACATTTGAATATAAAGTCATAAATGTATTCATAATAACAGTAATCAACGGTTTGTTACAACAAGTGATTTAAAATCACATTTGAATTGCAAACACATCTGAAAATAATTACATTTTGTGGCCAATTATTGAATCACAACTATATTTATTTTTGGACACATTTTACTATAAAATAAAATAATTTGTAAATAATATTTAACGATAAATTTTATTAATTAAATTTACAATACAATCAAATTTTAGTCAAATTCACAAAAATCTGTAAAACAAGAGTTGTATAACAAAAATAATACAATACGTCATTTAATTAAACAATTAATTCATAAACAACTCAACAAAACAATTAATTTTCAATCAATTCATTAAAAAATCAATGCTTTTTATCACTTTTATGTTCAATTAATGCGTTTGAAGTGATGAATCGTTTGACGCACTTCTCACACCTCATCGGCGTTGCCATTGAGTGGACAGACACCTGATGGCGGGTCAGCTTCTTATGAATGACAAACTGTTGGCCGCATTCATAGCCCCCGAGTGGACAGACCTGTGGTGTGTCTTACGCTCCCCTTTAGTAGCAAACGAATGGTCGCAACCGTCGTGTCGACAGACGTACCGATCGGTAGCGTCTATGACGTCCGCAACAATGGACGGGACGTTAGGTCTGGATTCAATGGGCGCCTGTTGTACACCAGTGGCCGCCGAGTGTGCGGTCAGTCTATGCTTATTCAGTCTGTATTTATCGCCATAAATGTTGGTGCAGTCGTCGCACCGGTATTGCCAGCCGGGAGTCGAGTGGACAGTCATCGAGTGGTGTCTCAACTCCCGTATAGTGGCAAACGATTGGTCGCAACCGTCGTGTAGGCAAACGTACGGCTCGTCTGTAGTGTCGGTAATAACAGGCGGACAGTTAACTCGTGTCAGCCGGTGTTTGTTGTACTTTCGTTTTGTGTGATATGTTTTGTCGCAGCCGTCGCACCGATACAGTCGACCGGTGGCCGAGTGGACAGACAGCCGGTGTTTCTTCAGCTCCGGTATTGTGACAAACAATCGGCCGCAGCCGTCGTGTAGACAGGGATGCACTTTGAGAGCCGCCGATACGGTCACAGACTGCGAGTCTTTGCCAGCCTTTGCGCTAACTGTTGGCCGACTGTCGCCCGATTCGTGTCCACTATTCTCATCACTACTCGTATCGGAGATACTATTTGTGGCAAAAAAAAAATATTATAACAATTAATGTGTTGTTTATTAACTGATATATTCATAACAATTACTCAATGTATTTCCGTTTTGATTGGTGATCAGCGATGGGGCGCACCGGCACTGGTATATCGTCTACTAGTGGTTCAGATGACGGGTGGACTCCATTTGCGGTCACTTCTGGCCGATTATCGCCCGATTCGTGTCCACAGTTTTCATCACTACTCGTATCGGAGATCCTATTTGCGGCCAAAAAGACAATTATATTATAGTTAAGTAAATCTATTAACTGTTATTAAAAACAATTACTCAATGATTTTCGGTTTTGATGTGTGGCCAGTAATCGGCGGCACTGAATGTGCGGTGCGTTTGGGCGCCGGCAACACATCTATCACTTCGAGATCAGAGTCAGAATCACTGGATATATAGAGTAAACACACAATTAATTAATGGCGTAAACCAATGGCTATAATATACCTGTTGTTTGAGTTGACTTCACGATCAATGGTCGGCCGTAGAGTGACCTGAGCTGACACCGAGTGCTTCAGCCGATGCTTATCGAGCATATGTCTCGTGTAATACTTTTTGTCGCAGCCTTCGCACCGATACTGTCGACCTTTAGCACAGTGTACGGCCAGTCGGTGTCTCTTCAGCTCAGATATAGTAGTGAACGATTGGCCGCAACCGTGGGATAGACAGGCGTGCGGTTTGTGCGGAGCCAATGCGGTCACAGCCGGCGGTGACGAGTGAACGGTCTGTTTGGCGGTCTTTGAGTGAACGGTTCGCCGATGAGTCTTGAGTTCCGGTTTGGTATCAAATGTTTTGTCGCATTTCTTACACGTGTAGACCGATTGGACGGTAGGGGTCGGGCCGGCCGTTACGGCAACACTAGTGGACACGTGTTCTGCTTCAGTGGCCGTCGCCGTTGAGTGGACAGTCAGCCTATGCTTATCATACCTTCGTTTGCTGTGATATGTTTTGGCGCAGCCGTCGCACCGATACTGTCGACCGGTGGCCGAGTGGACAGACAGTCGGTGTCTCTTCAGCTCCGGTATTGTGGCGAACGATAGGCCGCAGCCGTTGTGCGCACAGCCGTACGGTTTGTCGTCCGACAAGTGGACAGTCCGGCGGTGTTTCTTGAGCTCCCGTTTCGTGACATAGGTTTTGTGGCAGTGTTTGCACTCATGGATGGCATCAGGTTTAGGACTACCGGCGCTAACATTGCCGCCGACACCACTCGTGTCGTACCAGAAGTGAACGGTTGGCGCCGTTGTCTTGTGGACAGCCCTCTGGTGTGCGATTAGCGTGTATTCAATGGTAAACTCGAGGCCACAGCCGTCGATACGGCACACATGAGTTGGCGGCAAATCAATGACAGTTTGGCCGGTAGTCGGCAACTGGTTATCGGTGGCCGACTTGCGATCAGTATTTGCATTAATAGTACTGTTTGTGATAAATAATTAATTAGTATTTTAATTGAGTTGTGATTTAAACAGTACTTAAGGCACGGGTTGTGGTCCACGAGTGAAGTGTTGAGCAATTGTTGATCACTGAGTGTTTGGTGTTCAGCGGTCGGCGCCGGCTCTGTAGTCGCCCGTATGGGCTCAGGTATAGTATCTATTACTTCGAGATCAGTGTCCAAATCAATGACAGTTTGGCCGGTAGTCGGCAACGGCTTATCGGCGGACGTGTGACCAGTATTTGTGTTAAGACTACTGTTTGTAAAAAATAACTAAAAGTTATTTAGTGTTTTAATTGAGTAGTGAATCAAACAGTACTTAAGGCACGGATTGTTGACAAGTGAAGCGGTGGCCGACAAGTGGTGGTCATTGAGTAGCGGCGGCAGTGTTTGGCCGGTGTTTACCGCCGGTATTGTGTCCACTATTTTGATGTCATTGTCTGAATCGCTAAATATTATAAGAAAAACATAAACAATTTAATCCATAACTTAAAAGTACTAAAACACAGCACATACTCATCGCACGTGTTGTCCAGCGATTGGCTGTCGGGACTGGAAGTGGTGCTGATTGTCGGCAGTGATTGGTTGGCCACTGGTATGGCATTTGGTTGTTGTTGGCCGTCATCTGTGGCTGTCATCGACTGGTCTCTGACATCGGTTGAGCTAATCATCGGTTCCCGAGGAGTGATGTCTTGTACGGCATGTCTGCGGCGTTTGTGTTCATCCAATCGGCTTTGAGTTGTGAAACATTTGTTGCACTCATTGTAATGACATTTGAATGTCCCGTTTGGCGGCAATTGTCGGACAAACGACTCGAGGATTGACTCATAAGTCAACGATTGGCTGAAAAGACACAACAGTTGTGACAATTGAACGCATGGTTTGTCACAATCCATACAAACCTATCACTCGATGACATCCAGAAGAAT